TACTGGATTTTCCTGTGTAGAGCTACTTCATGCATACCTTGAATACATGTATCTTGCATACCTTGAGCATCCTTTAACTGCCTTTGTAAGTCAATGTTATAGGTAATGTGCTCAAATTGCTTTTATAGGGTAAGAATGATATGTAACGTAATTATCAAGTTTCTTGATGAGCAAGAGACGTGTGTTTGCAAGTTGTTTCTAACTGTCGATTCTTTGCCCATTTATTGCATAAGAGCCTTCCTTATGAAAACGTCATCTGGTGATTTTTTGGTCATGAGCTCTGATCAATCGGAGTACATCTATATGGATCATATATACCTGATATTTTAGAAATCAGCCGAAATAGTGCTAGCAATATCTTTTAACCACAGGCTGCACTTTTAACATCTTCATCAGAGGCTAGAAAGTTAACCTGAATAGCTAAATTTATGTACTTTGTGTAAATTTTTTTCAAAGTGCAAAATACTGTGCCTTTCTTTTGAGTGTTGCTCCAGCTACCTTTGTCCGTGTATAGCAAGTAATAATCATCTTATGACTGAGAATGGTTTGTGTTGTATGAAAGGAAATAAGAGAATGACTGCACACCCTTTTGTTTTGTTTGTTGGAGATTTTTTTTTTTCTGTCCATATCATATGCAGTTAATATATATATATATATATCATGATTTGGCTTTTTGATAGTCCCCTTTTAATAAGTATTGACATGGGCTCTAATAATCATATTCAGGGAGCAGAGAGACAACTCTTTGTTTTGTGACTAAATCAGCTGAATTGGTTACTTGAAGGAAGATAAGATAAATTGGTCGCTATTCTTGGATTTCTTTGAAAACATTAGTCATCTACCTAATGTGCCAAAGAAGCCTTAATCATACTGGCTGCATTTCGTTTTCCTCAAGAACTTAGTGAAATGTTCATAAGTGATGCTCTGCAAGAAAATGTCTAAACAGTCAAATCCGCAAACTGTAACATTCGGGGCCATTATAGTTAATTCTTCATGTAGCTACCATATTTACGTGTCCACTTTTGTTGTTGTTTTTTTTTTTTTTTTTTAAATCATAGATCCCATGTTCTAGGTTTCACGTGTAATAGTGCTTCAATGTCGCTGTCTAATTTGTGAGGTATGTAGCCAATTCTTTTGTATATGATGTACTGTATATGGTAGCACTGGTCCTGTTCATGCGAGGGTTTTTTTTGTTTCAAATTGTACTGTATCTTGGAGTTGGGTTGCTACAATATCTCAAGGGGATTTCATTTGGTTGATGGTGCTTGTACCGGTCTGAGCTTATGAAGCATGAGATAAATTCTCACGGTTCTTTGCAAATTGTAGATCTTGTTTGTCAGAATTGCACTCCTGTATATGGTGGAATTGGTGGCAAAAGTGTCTGATTTTGTGGTTGTATAGGATAGCATAAGTAGGGTGCCAACCATAGGAAGTTAACTGTAACATTCTCAAGGATTTGATCCGGCATATTTTCGTCACGAGCTTGAAGGTCCCGCTTTCCAACCTTACAATGTAATCTAAAAATTTCTTTGATTTTTCTAGTTCTTGGAATGTAAATGTTTCGCACTAGATGGGGTTGGGACCAGTGATCTCTCTCTTTATTGGAGTCGTGCTCTTTTTGCTGCATCTGTTCCATGCGTTTCTAATCTCGTGCGTCTGTTCGTCTAGAGTTGATTTATGCAGGGAAGCGTATTTATTTATTTATTTATTTTTTTTTTGGTTTAGGAAAATAAGAAGTGAGATATGGAGATGATAGTAACTGTGTGTTTGTTATTCTCCTGCCGGATAAACTTACAAGTCGCAGGACCATAATCTTTTCTCCCACTTCCACTTGTCATTGGAGACGTAGCTCTGTTGTTATAGCCTGCTAATTTTTCTGCGGCAACTGTTGTATTTGTCATTGGAGTATGTTACCTTAGTTTGCCATCAAATGTCACCCCTTCTATCCCCGCTTGTGTATGTATTTTTGCAGCCAGTAGTTCCATCCTAAATCCTTGATGCTCTAACTTGCAATCCTTGAAAACCAAGATGACAGAGATAAGACGAATGAGATTATTAGGAGTATTTGGCCATTACTTTCCTGGTGTTTGGTCCAGAACTCGTGGATGCTATAGCTGGGAACACGATTGTCTCCTCCAAGTAGGACAGGAGCCGATTAAATGTGTTCACGTAGAGAAAATTGCTGCCCAATAATTAGCTGGGAAAACCTCTACTTGAAGATTCCCCCGCCCCCCCCCCTCCCCCCCCCAAACAAAATTGTAACATAACGAAGTATGTGGGATTGGACAACACGGTCAAGCATTTGGGAATCGCTGGCTATGATATTTTTCACAATTAATTTTTTTTTTTAAAAAAAGAAAAGAAAAGGAAATTTACTATTGCATCTTCATATATTAATATTATGCTTGATCGTTGATGTGATGTTTGGCTTACCATTCATTCAAAACACACTAGCTGAGGGTCTTGGATCCATCACTCGCGAATAATTGGTATGGTCTAGTTTGATTACAGGCTAGGCGCTGTGTGTCCTCCTTCTATGTATGGTTATCGGCTAGGAGCTTAGTAAGGTGAAGCGAGGTTTCAGCACCACCAATGGGGCATCAATTCTACTGCAATCGCCACCTAAAAATTTTCATCAACACATTGGTTTCTACAAAATTGGTGGACTGCAACAACCTTAATGATAACTCATGGTTCCATAATAAAACCATTGCTGAAAATGTGCAGGGCCTTTCAGGGGCACCGTCAAATTCAAGGACTCGGGAAAACTTAGCCCCGAAATCCGCGTTACTGGAGACAAGACATCCATTCCCACATTTCCCCATCTTGGCTGACATTATTATAAGTACCCTCCATTCACCACAATATGCTTCATTGCAGTGCTTCTCTGTTGCATCAAGAGAAATTGCTGCATACTTTAAAGAGAAAAAAAGAAAAAAAAAAACTACGAGAAGCTTTGTGCAACAATGGCTCGCCAAATTGTTGTCCTTGCTCTTATCTTCTTTGCCATTGTTGGCATGGCTTCTGCAACCGCCCAAGCTCCAGCTGCTAGTTCCGAGTCAGAAGCAGGTATCGGCCCGGCGCCGATAACCACGACATTGGCCTCGTTGGTGGTTCTGGTGCCGACTACGGTGCTGCGCCTATTGGTGGACCTGTGACACCAGGAACTTTCTCCCCTGGCAGCCCTGCTGAAGCACCAAATGGCAGCGGTTCAACCATTCTTGAAGCATCTGCCGTTGCCGGTCTCGTCGTCTCCGCCATCGCGGGTTCATTTTTCTTCTAAATCCTAGTCCACTCAGATGTGTGACAATTACTTGTATTACTCGTCCTTGTGATCATTGAGCCTGTATTTTCTGTTGTAAAATTGAGGCACACCAGAAAATGCATTGGACGACAGAGTTTTACTACTGTTTTTCTGAAGTTTAAGGCTCCCTTTTGTTTGTTTCTTCTTTCTTTCCTTTTTCCCCGGGTCCTCCTTCAATGCTCGAAGATTTTCTACTTCCCAATTTTGTGTATTAACCAACAATACTAGAAGAGTTAATAAAGAGCGTCCAATTGTGAACCTGCCGCATTGCTACTTTTGTTGGTGAGACATCCGGAAAATAATCTGGTTAATATTCAAATAAAATTTCATGAAAAAATCAAGAACACAAATACTCTTTTCCCTGTGGATGATTTGATCACATTTCAGCGCTGGAGGGGGCAACGAACGAACTCCTATTTCATGCACTTGCGGCTTTTGCCCTTGTCGGGGTATAAACCATGGTGCGGGAGGGTCGTAAGTCGCAACTCGTAAGTAAGGGCCAATGCCTCTTTAAAAATCACGCTATTCAGGTGAAGGCGTGATCATGAGCACAGTCAATAACCCACGCCTCTTCTTAAGACTTAAAAAAATGTGTTTGAAAGACGCGATATTTCCAATACAATGGTCCAGCTATCTCCGCTTATCGTCTGATTTCCAAAGGACTGTATACATCATTAATTGAAGCAGAAGAAAAAGCTTATAGAAAATTTTTGCAAATGACTTTTTTTTTTTTTTTTTTTTACAGAAGTTGGATTAGCGTAGAAATAAAAATAAAATAAAAAGGTTGCGGAAGTAATGAGAAAATTCTGACATTCAAAAAAGTATCCACACTCTTAATAGGACACCTCATAACTTAAATAAGTGGACAACCGCCTTTTAAGCCTCGTTTGTTTGAAGTTGCGGTGGTTTATTATGAAGGGAAAGAAAAAACACTTCTAACATAATAAGTATTTTTAACAAGAGTGTTTTTAAATTATCAAAAGTTGGGCTATTTAAATTAGAAAAAATTAATTCCCTAACACCACCCTACAAGTACCTTTAATACTTAAAATCGCTTCCCTTTTTTTTTTTTTTTTTTTTTTTAAATGGGTAAGCACACCGTAGCCCCAAACAGGACCTTACTCTTGAGAACGTCAAAGGATCAAGTGAATAACCCTTTCCATGAGCATTTTTCATGTCAATTTATATGATATACTCCATATCCAAATTGAGTTCAACTTAGTAAAAGTTGATGCAAAATTGACTCATGAATCAATCAAATTAACACGAACAAATGTCAGTCTTTGTTATTATCTTCATAAGTTTGAATTGGATTTGATCACACAATAAAATAAATAAAAAATTCATCTATGCAGTTTGATTTGTAAGTCAAACACTATACAAGAACCTTTTTTTTTTTTTTTAGTCTAACACTATACAAGAATTTGATAGCAGTTTGATTAGATAAAAATCATCTGTGCTTATTAGATTCAATGAGCTTAAATAATACTTAAACATAATTGTAAAATAATTATTAAAGTCAAATTAAAATCAGAATTTTTTTAAAAAAAAGTCAAATTAAACCTGAACCCAACAAAGTTCGGTTCGATTCGGTTTGTTTCTACGGTCATCATACCTTGATGTTAACCGACCACCGGTTCGGGCCAAAAGCGAAGGAAGAAAGAAAAGAAGCGGGAGTATAATATAAGGGAGGGTTTTAGCACAAATGGAAGCGAGTTGCCGAGTTAGGGCAAAGCCAAACTTCTGAAAGCTTCCGGAGTGGGACTGCAAGCAGTGCTCAATACTCATAGAACACTCATTTTCACTTGTATTCTCTCTCTTTTTCTGAATCTCTGGTGGTCTTTCAGATCGGATCCCCGATAAATGGCGTTGGCGTTCGATGAGTTTGGTCGGCCGTTCATTATAATTAAAGAGCAAGAGTCCAAGACTCGATTGCGAGGCCTTGATGCTCAGAAAACTAACATTGCTGCCGGAAAGGCCGTCGCTCGTATTCTCCGTACCTCACTTGGCCCTAAAGGCATGGATAAGATGCTTCAGAGCCCCGACGGCGACATCACTATCAGTAATCTACTAATCTCTTCTTACTCTTCCCTTCCTCTACGTTATCAAATTGTAGAATTATGTTGGTTTTGTGAGGTTTATTAGTGAGTTGTGACTGTTAAAGTATCTGTGTGATAAAGCTCGGGTTTTAGGAGCTTCATTGCTGGATTTAAAAATTTTTTATTTAATTTTAATTAGTAATTGTAATTAGTAGATTTCTAAGTAAGTCTGATAAAAGGTTGGTACTTGGACTTGTGTAGTGGTATTTGAGAGTGGAACGCACCTAATTTAGGTGAAAGTGGATGATGGTCTTTACTGAACGTTACAAAAAAAAAATTAAATCCTTGATTAGATTGGCAAATTGACAAGTGTAGGAAAATTTGCTGGAGATGTAAGATGATTAAAATTTGGATGACGAGCTTGCAGTTTTTTTTGTAATTCCATCCCTACATTGTGCTGGTAGTTCATTTACTGCACTAAATAGGTGCTTGTTCTTTCCTTTTTTGTCCCCGCCCTCTCTGTTATCTCATTTGTTGTGACTATGTAATCAGTTTGGAAGTGTCTGTGATCCAGAAGAGTTTGATTAACATTTGAATCGCGGTGTTTGAACTTTTGGTGTTTAGCTGTTTGAAAGAAGATGTCATTAGGTTATCTGGAATTGAATATACTTGTTTTATGTTTGAAATTTAGGACTGATGGAGAATGCATGCTGCCTGTGGTGTCTGTCTTGACTTTTCTTGTACCCTTTTTAGAATTGATATGCCACCTTTCCGGTTGTCATACTTGGATGCATGCCACATTTTTCATAGAGCATATGCTGTTCTCGGTGATGTGGATTAAAAAAAATAAGGAATGAACAAAAATTAAATGGAAGAAAAGGAAGAGTTGTCATCTATCTTAACTTTCTTTTCTGTTCTGAGGTTTTCTAATACTTGACACCATGATTTGCAGCAAATGATGGTGCAACAATCTTGGAGCAGATGGATGTCGACAATCAAATTGCAAAGCTGATGGTTGAATTATCTCGTAGTCAAGATTATGAAATTGGTGATGGAACAACTGGTGTTGTTGTCATGGCTGGTGCTCTCCTTGAACAAGCTGAGCGGTTACTTGAACGCGGTATTCATCCTATCCGGATAGCAGAAGGATATGAAATGGCTTCAAGGATAGCTTATGAACATTTGGAACGTATAGCACAGAAGTTTGAGTTCGATGCCACAAACACAGAGCCTTTGATTCAGACTTGTATGACTACTTTATCTTCCAAGATGTAAGTACCAGGTTACTTCAATCTTTGATTTATTTTTGCTTGTCTTCAAATGGTTGTTCTGTATGGTAATTGGCGTTATAGGATATTTGTAATGATTAGTTTTAATCCAATGAGAAAAGTAAGATAGGCTGTGTATCGTTATATTGCTCTGGTATGTCATTTTGTTAAAGGACTGACGTACTTCCTGCTGTTGTGGATGATAGTCAGTTTCCTGCATGGAAGTTAAGCTTTCTGGTGATTGGTTAAGATGACCTTGCTACACATTTTTGTCTGTTCGGCATGATAGGTAGATGTTGCTGTTATAAGTTACAGATGCCAAACTTGGTTATATATTGCTGGATATCTTTATAATTTTGGATAAGAAATCATCGAAGTTCTCTCCTCTCTCTCTCTCTCTCTCTCTCTCTCTGTGAACAAATGAACTTGAGTAGAGAGAATGAAAGTGGTCAGATGCACAGTTCTTAATTGAAAAGTATGACCTGTTTGCTTGCTTTTAAGTCATTTTTAAAGTTCCATAAACCTCTTAAGTTGTTTCATCTTCTGAATTTTAGTGCCTTTAAAATTTTACTGGGGGGGGGGGGGGAGCTTAATCGTCTTTTAGTTAGTTCTTTCTTCCCTCTTCATTTTCCTCTCTTCAAAAATACTTAGAAAGTTGACTGAAGAAAAATGTATCGAGAAGCATGCAGAAACAGAATCATCACATAGATGTACAGATGCCTAAATTTGAACAAGAAAATAAACTGTAATTACAGCGAGTAGTTAAATTCTCTCCAAGCTCAAACATGTAATGTCCATCTTTATCATCATCTCGCCACGGGGGAGATCCTCTTTGAGCCACTTCCTTTACATATAGATTACCATGGTCTTGGGGTACCCTTGAATGCCCAAAGCTTGACACATTGCCAACCTCTTGCCCATAATATATTCCTGATTGGGCCTACACACAGCCATTCATTCATATTTTGCCAAGTAAATATCAAATAAAAGCTTTCCCTCAGCTACTGATTACATTTCAAATCAAATACTTTTGATCTCCCTCAAAAGCAACATGGACAAGAAATTACCAAAGTAATTATCAATCATAAAGTTTTCAGAGCTCATGAGCCAATCTTATTAAGGGCTCGTTTGGGGTTGCGGTGGCTTATTGAAAAGTACTTTTCTAGTAGAGCTTTTAATAAAAGTACTTATCAACTCCTTAAGTGCTTTTAAATATATTGTTTGGAGATATAATTCAATAAGTACTTATTGTATTCGATAATGTGTAATTTGAAAATTTTTAAAAGTGTTTATCTCTTATTTGGTTCATAATATAGGATAAGATGATTAAATTTGATGTTTTATTTTTTAAATCACAAAATCTACTCTAAAAGCACCAAATTTAAGCTTTTGCTAAAAGTGCTTTTAACTCTAAAAGCTCTATAGGATGATATTTACCAAACACTTTAAAAGTACTTTTAAAGTACTTTTAGCACTTAAAAGTACTTTTTTTCACCAAAAGCACCGCAACCCCAAACGGGGCCTAAATAACAACACTGAAACAACAAAATAAAAAGAAAAAAATTAAATAAACATTTTTTTTCAGACAAGAAAGAATTTTTAACAGGTTTCCTGCTAATGCTCGCTTAAAAAAGAATTCTGATCTTCATTAAGTCCAACTTAGCCTTCTTAAAATTCAAAAGCCAAGATTTTTATCTCAACTAGACCTGATATATATCATCTCAAGAAAGAGATCAAAAATATATATCGTTGAATTTCAGAGTGACGCATAAGAGGGACCAAAGTAATCACCATACACACACACACACACAAAAGAGCACAAAGATAGTCAACTGCAAAATTATAAGGCTTCCATAAAAAATCAATGAAAACAACATGTTTATGATATCAAAGTTGCATTCCCAGTCAATATACAAATGAAACATCCGATATGCAAAACTTGTACTTCCTTCTTTTTGTCATATTCTCGAATTTTCATTTCTTGATATTAGTTAGTTAATCAAGCTACAAATTCTAGAAAAACCATAATTGAGTAAAAAAGTTGCCAAATTTATTGACACCCCTGCTAAAATGCTTCAGAAAATTAAACTAAAAAATAAATCAATAAAAGGAAGTGGGGGAAGAATTTTACCTTCGGGGTATGAGATGGGTCCCAAGCTAATCTGGGCCGCTTATTTGGTCTCCGATCCATATGAGAATGTGGATAATCCGACATGAACTGCAATTCCATAGATCAATTTTAGCTCGAGCATAGAATCAGAGAAAGGGGGTTTGAAACCCTAACCCTAGATTAAGGGCCAAAGGCTCCCTGATGTGATTGAGGTGTATCAGAGTTCCTGGAGCTCCAGACCGTTGAGATTTATTCGGACGTAGGATTGACTGGAGGATCAATCCAAGCCGTCCATTAAGCTACGGTTAATGTTTGGTTAAATGTTGGTTGGGTTTGTCAACTGTGGTTGAGTTAATTTTATCCATCTCTGTATTTGCTTAATTTGTTCTGGTGACCCTTTTGTTTTGGATATTCTACATGACCACTGAAATTATTCATCCTCCCTATTGATGCCATCTTGTTCTTTTTTAATTTTCTTTGTCTGGGAATGCTCCAAATGTTAATCTCCTCGCTTGTGATTTGTGAACCCATGTCCTAAGGACAAGAGCACCAATGATAGAATTTCACCGGATTGAAATTTTAATCTGATCAATTTGTTTTACAATTTTAGTTATGTCCGTTCGTTTCACTAGATTAGAACTTATGCAAATAGGAACTAAACTATAAGATTATTAAGGTGATAAAGAGTTGTAATGTTAATTGACCATTTGAGAAGATGTAATCAACAAAATTTTATGCAATTGGTTTTGAGGATTGCTTCAAATTTCAAAGCATAGACGATGATTTTACAATAATTTTCCCAAATCAAAATTCTATGGATATTGGTAAAGGAAAAATTGTGTGAACAGAATTTTCTACTTGAACCTAAAGTTTGAAACACTATTAGTAACTAGGTAACTAGTTGAATATATATATATATATATATATATATATATATATATATATATATATATATATATATATATTATATATATCTTCTTACATCCTTTTCACCCACCCTCAATTAAAGATCCTTCTTGCACCCGTTCCACCTCCAATTGACAATTCGAACCTTGAACCTAAACAAACTCTCTTAAGAGCGATTCCCTGAATTATATGTTATTCATTCTGCTCTAAAGGTGTAAGTTTTAGACCAGACCTAATGATGCATCTTCACTTTATGATGACATGTCAACACTAGCCATAGATCAGAGATGCATGTTCATACAATCAAGGCAAAATGTGAGCCATCTTGAAGAATTAGCGAGGATAAACATCATGGGGACAAACTGATGCTCAAAACAATTGTAAATGATGGAGATTCCTGTCTCCTGAACAAAAAGTTCGCTTGATGTTTAAGAGTTCGTGTCTAGTGTGTGCAGGTTAACAAGATGGCTTCATCCTTCACCTGACCAAGGTCCTAAAGAATGAATCTACTATACACCGCTGTTGTCTAACAGCTCAGATCTTGGAAGATTACAATGCATACATCTGGGGAGAAAACAAAATACTGTATGAGAGAGAATCGTAAAGTAGAAATTAATAAAAGAAAAGGAATTACTAGAGTAAAGGTTCAGAAAGCTCCATTTCGTTGGTATTTTCCTGCTGTATTTCAGCTCGGTGGAAGCCTACAAAATCTAACCCAAGCCATTCCCATGGCCAGCACATATATCTAGGCCTGGATAGGCCTGATCTCGATGTTTCCCTAGTATCCAGCTCTTCAAGCTGACGAGTCAGTTCTTCCACTCTATCCCTCAACCTAGTTGCCCTTATATCAGCCAATTTCAAAGATTTCTCAGCCGCGTCCCTAGCAGCCATGGCAGCAGCTGCCGTTTCTTCTTTGAACTTCAGCTTTTTCTCGGCCTCAATGACAGCTTGCTTGGCCTCTTCAAGTTCCTGGCGTATGGCTAACAACTGCAACGATATTCAGAACAATGTCAGCAAAGTATTATTGTTGACATGGTCTTTCCTAGAAGCATATATCACAACTTATATGAACAACTTTTATGATGCAGAGAACAGAGCTTTCCATTGTGCCCAAAAAAAAGGGACGTAGAGCAGTCATGGACCAAGTATTCTCAAACTTGCATGAATATCCCAAAACCTCATTTTTAAATTTGCAATTCTAAACTTTGTTAATAATTTTCAACAAATGTGCAAAAAGTACCCAATAATTGTAGTCCCATATTTTATAAAGGAGAAAACTAGCAATCTATAGGACCCAATCACGACAATGGATCATTTTCAACTTTGAGCCATACAGTAGTATTGCTGGACTATACTAGCCTTTTTTTTTTTCTGTTTTTGTTTGGGAAAGAGACTATACCGTCACGTCCTCACATTCATTCAAACGAGATATTTCTGGAAGAAAACGCATCAGTCTCCCAGAATGGGAGCCTGACAGGTTACATGATAGAAGAACAGAAGTCCCTCTCTTGCAGTAAACTTTTACTTTCTCATTCATGTGATGGTCTAATTGTTTTGGCCGGGGGAAAATGGACATGCAGACTACGGAGACGCAAGGGAAAGGGGTGCTAAAAGTACAGGGAATTTTATTTTAAGCATCCAAACTAACAAAGATGAACAACAGTAATATGTATCTCTACCAAGCATTCCACCCAATGATCAAAGTACAACATAGAGATTCATTTTTCTTGAATCAAGAAAAAAGATAGAACAACTAAAAAGATCTCTTGACAAACCAGAGAGGGCAAATCATATTTCTGTATCTTAAACAACTACAATTAATTCGTCGTACTTAGATCAATTCATAGAGATAAGTGGCAAAAATCTACTAAGGTTTATAGGAGGTGTGGGAAAGATGTATCGAATGCCCATGCATAGATTTGGCATGCTTTTGATGACAAGGAACCAACTTGGGAGTTGATTTGAATCCTATCGAGTTTGTTTCTTGATTTTCACCAGCAGGGGTATTTTAGTAATTTGGTTAGCTGCAGGATTTTTATGTTTATGGTAATTTTCTGTTTAGTAATTATTTTTGGTAATTAGTATTTTAGTTGTCATGGGGGAATAAGAAAACTTAGCTTTCTACTAGAAATTTATTCTAGGTAGGAGTCCTAATTAGGATTGGAGTTGGCTTTGTTCTAGTACCTAGAAATAATGACTTCTCCACAAAGGGAAGTCAGATTTTATCATTAATAAAATTTTCCTCCCGGCTCAATGTCTTTCTTAGGATTGTGTGATACATCCTACTTTAGATGTGACGCCTAAAGATTCCTAGGAGTGATTCGTAGAATTGCTAATCAGATTTTCATCTTGTTAAAGCATATTTTCTCAGTCTATTCCAAGTCGCTATTTTAAATTCGAGTGAAATTCCACATCTGAGCTTTTCTACAAAGCTGTTGTGCCTACCAAGTCTTCGTGCTGCATCATCAATTCAGCCTTGCTTTTATACATATCAAAATGGTACAATAAATATTATTATCACTACTGAGCTTCTCTCAAGCACAAGTGTTCCTTCTTTTAGGTTGGCATTCATTTCCATCATGCTTGGCCAAATGTCCTACTATTCTATCACCAGTAAATGGCAAAAATGATCACTAAATTATCTAAAATGGCACAGTTTGGTCACTGAACTGTGCAAACATTTTACTCATTACCTGAAAGCATTAAAAACAAAAAACACCCAACTCCTCAGAGCAAATAACTATAAATGTTATTGTTGTACACCTCTTCCATCAAAAAAAGGGGAACAAAGAAATTCAGAATTCACCATCATTTATTCTTCATGCATAAGCACTACTACAAGTAAGATTGAAATAGAAGAAGAAACTGCAGGCAACACATATAAATCATGTAATACTACTCCTGGGGTGAAGGTAGTTATCATATAAGTGGAAATCTTTAGCAACCCTGCGCTCAAATTACACTGCATGCTCAGTAAAGTATGAAGATCCCAAGTGAAAAGATGTGGTAAAGGCATACAGTGTAAAGGTCCAAAGTTAGAATCAGAACAAAAATTACCTGTGACGTGTACTCTTGTTCAACAGCTTTACCTGCATCTGCTTCTTGTTGTGCAGCCACCTTCCACCTTGTGATTTCTTCTTCAGCAGCAGAAATGTCAAGCATAAGGCCTTCAACCTAGATTCAATTAAGAATATCAATTTAGAGTTATTTCAGATGTACCAATGAAAAAGACTACAACAAAAATAAGGGCCAAATGCCAGTCAATCTCTGGAATATGAAACTACATAATGGTAAAATAGCATATTGAAAAGAACAGCAGATATACTAACATTAGAGTTTGCAACTCGCTCCTTCTCTTCAAGCTCATCCACACGCTGCTTCCAATGATTGAGCTCTTTTGTTTGAGATTCCACTTGCTCCTTCAATAAATTTGACTCTGCCCTTAATTCAGCAAAGAAATATGTCACAGAGAGAGAGAGAGAAAGAGAATGACTGATTGTTAGCACAGGAATTTGCTGGCAGTATCCTGAATTTCAAAGAATCTACATGCACCGGAAGAGGAAGGAGGGGGGAGGGGGGGGGGGCTCAAAATAAATTAACTCTACAAGACATACAATTTACTATAGATGCTGGAAAAGCCTTGATCAAGGTTTCTTTCCATAAAGACCACAATATCCTCATCATTCACTAACGAAATCTTCTCTGATATGTGATTATTAGAAAACAAACCAAAAACTTGTTACCATGTCTATGAGTAAGCTAGTTTGGCTATTTCTTAACTGGAATGGGAAAATTTAATAACAGCATTCTGTGTCATGTAATTTCAATCTTAAGGAACTTCTGAAGATGCATAAAAGTCAAGGTGACTTTTATTGTCTATCTCATTTATCAACAAGGCAATGCCAATTGTAGATAAGGGCAGTAGGGCTAACAGAAGGTACCTTAGATCATCCATAGAATGCTTTAGCTCAATGATCTCAACCTGAGACTGTTTAATGATATTCTCCAAAGCACCAGCCTTCATTGATGACATATAAGAATAGTCAGTAAAGAAGAAATGAAAATTCAAAAATTCATTCCAGAATAATCAAGGCAACCAAAAAGAACGTACTTACCAAGGCATACACTTCATCTTCCTCTGCATCCACAGGAATAACTCCATCACTAGGAGCTGGAACTTTGCCCTCCCCAAGGTGATTGCTGAACTTGTAATCTATGCCAGCTGCTTTTAGCCCATTTTCTGCAACTTTGAACATTTCATTTGTCCTTGAAGACAAATCCACAGACGTTCTCCTCGACAAAGTACTTCTCAACAATGATCCGATCTGTTCTTTC